GTTGAATATAATATATTGCAAATTATGTACAAGGCTCATAAAAAAGTTTGCCTTTAATTTTGTTAAGAGAGAAAGTTTTTATAATCTTAAGGGACTTGAGATGTTTTTAAAACCTACAATTTGGACAAATTTGAAGGATCGATGCACTTCAGTTCAAGGAATAAAACAGGAATAATCTGGAGAGTGATTATAAAAATGCTGCTTCAATATATTAGCTTAAGAGAATGTTAAAAATAAGTTTGTTAAAGAAATATGAAATTGTATAATGTATATCCAAAGCTGTTGTTTAAAAGGAATTGAAGCTTTTTGTTTTGTTTCTTGATTATTATTGCTTGAAATTAAATTTTGGAAAAAAGGGGCAGATATTATGAGATTTTATTCTTCTTTCTGCCTCTTTTCATTTTAAAAATTATTTGTATTTTTTGTGTGTGTATAATTTTTTGCTTTTTAAATTAAAAGAACTAAACTAAACTAAACATTACGCTGTTTACATGTATTTATGTTATTATTTCTAAGCACAAACAGCACCAGTAGTTAGCTGCATCATGTCAAACATCCAAACTGAGGTGGTTCAAATAGCGACCTTTAATCTGAATTACTTCAAAATAAAAGCACTTCCTCTGAGTTTGCACTAGTGCACACCTTTAGCAATATCAGTTTTTATTCTCTTTTTAACTGTTATTTATATGAACTAATTTATTCTGTATTAAATTTATCTTTCTAGGTGATTTTAACTTAACATTCGTGTTTTATACTGTTTGTCTTCCCAACATGTATCATTTATCTGGGTATATTTAGTTACAAAGTTTGCATTGGGATATTTCTGAAAACACACACACAGCTTGTTGTCACTATTTGCACTGTTGTATAAATTATTTGCAGTGTTTTTTGTTCCCCCAGAGGACTCATTAAAAGAGGATTTAGTGTTCCTGCTGCTGAYCGTCCTTCCTCCTCCCCAGCTGCTGCAGTCAGTAATAAAACCAGTGCTGACCTCAGCAATGACACACTTGCACACCTATTTAAAACAGTAAATCCAATACTGCTGCAAAAGCCTCACCATCCCAATTATTTGTGTTTTATTCTGGTACTTATGTGGTTCAGTTTGCTATAAAACCTCTTTCAGTGTCATAAAGCAAAACGTAAAAATGAGAGTTCTTCTTAGGGTTAGTAATATTTGTTCTGAAAAGTAATCTGGAATTATTTGGAATGATAAACTTTATAAATAAGAAAAAAAA